GAGAGGCTGACCCGGAGAGAGGGGCCTGAATCCCCGCCCCGAGAGAGCCTCGACCCGCCCCTCCTCCAGAGGGAGGGCTCACTCTGACACACATTCAGAAAACTTACTTTAGAAACTGTGGGAAACTTTCACCTGGTCCAAAAACGCTTCATATAAACCTCAATAACTCAGTCTCATCTGAACACACACACATTGAACTTATATTTTGAGTTGTAGTAAACCTAAACTACCAGCAAATATTATCATTATTAAATCCATCCAGAATAAATGACTGTAAGACAAGAGACTTAGAAGTCATTTAAAAAGGACCCGGCTATTTTAAAGTTGTATTTGTAGTTAGTTGTATTTGTATTAACGGATATATGTTGAAATTAAGTCAGACTTTTTTATTAAATCCATCCAGAATAAATGACTGTAAGACAAGAGACTTAGAAGTCATATCAAAAAGACGCTCCTGAACCTGTCTGAGAGTTTTGCTAGTTTAAAGTTTTATTTGGTTTTAAAATCATTAATTACATTTTCTTGTAGAAATACTCGATACATTGTCAAAATGAGCTCCTGATAGTTGATTCGGCATACTTTTAATGGGAATAAAATATAATTAAATAAACGGCTCATATCATAATTAAAACAGCGAAAAACGTTCATCTCATCAAAAACAATGCTTCATATAAGTGTGGGGTTTTCTCTGGAAGTTTTTCCTTGTACGATGTGAGGGTCTAAGGACAGAGGGTGTCGTATTGTCATACTGATATTCTGTACAAACTGTGAAGTCCATTGAGACAAATGTAACATTTGTGATATTGGGCTATATAAATAAACATTGATTGATTGATTGATAAANTGTTTTAAATTATTATTGATCACATTATATAGTACATATTTCTTAATTTAAGCTCCAGTATATATGAATATGTTTGGTGTGTTTTTTAGGTATATTTGTTATTGACCGAGCAAACGCTTTTATTTTGAAGGCAGTTTTTACAGGCCTCTACCGTAATGCATAGGATATTCGCGCGCCGTAATACAGCGTGCGGGCTGGCTTGAATGACCACAGTCTGTGTTTACCCAGTGTTTCCTGACATGAAACGTTTTATTTCACCTTGCTGTTTTTAACGTATATTAAAAAACGGGGACATTTCCGGGGACAGTTTAAACCGGGGACAGGCCAATACAAACGGGGACTGACCCCTGAAAACGGGGAGGTCTGGTCACCCTAGTGTACGTGTGTATGTGTGTAAGTGTCTGAATGTTTTATTGAGTTTTAAATGTTTCCTGTGAGGAATATTTATTTACATATTTGTTTCCGTGGCACTAAATGTTTTCCGTCACGTAAACAGGAAGCATTTCTCCAACGCTGAATCGGTTTTCTTGAGTATTTTCACAGAAATGTGTAAGGTCTTGTTTTATATTACAGATCCCATGAAGTGTCTTTCTTCAGAAGAACAGTTATAAACAAAACAAAATTGTTCCATTTTCCCAGGAGGAAATTAACTCACCATAGAACACAGGAAATCAGTGTTAGAATATAAAAAAAAATGAGTTACAAAAATAATAATATAATTAATAATTATAACAATAAATATAAATATAAATAAAAAAGTATAATAATTTGTTTGTATATATATTTTTTCATGTTTAAAATATGAATTAACACTTATATTTTTCAGGAGCATTGTAATAATACTTCAGTTTGTCATAATGTATTTACACTAAAAAATATTAAAAGAAAAATAATAAGGAGCTGAGAAAGTAGCTGGAAACATATATTGTGTATTAAATACAATAAGATACAAATAATTATTAATATCGTTATTGTACTTTTAATTATTACAATTTTATTTATTTAGAAAAATTACTTTATTCCGCTACATTGAGATTATCAAAAATGACCTGGTGTAATTCTCATGTTTAGCCCACAGGGGGCGCCAAAGTACTTAATTTCAAACATCAACTGCAGTAGAACTGTGTGTGTGTGTGTGTGTGTGTGTGTGTGTGTGTGTGTGTGTGTGTGTGTGTGTGTGTGTGTGTGTGTGTGTGTGTGTGTGTGTTTCCTGACTTCCAGGTGTTTCCTGACCCCACCCCTCCCATTTTATAGACACACACACACACACACACACACACACACACACACAGTCAGAAACTCGTAATGTTTGACAGGAACACACAGAAACTCAGGTGATGAAAACGTGTTAATGTTATAATTATGAGGCATTGTACTTCACTGGAGTATTTCTCATTCATCTTTCACTGCACTACATGCATTTGAAAAGTCACCGTACTTTATAAAAAATAAACTCCACCATTACCAGCTGTTTAAGAAGTTAATGCATCAATAATTATTATACCATAATATATATAAATCTGCAGAATCAGCACTTTGACAGCATTTTGTAAACATTTGACTGGATTAAAATAAAGCATTAAAATTCTCAGGCAGGTTCTGCACTAATTTAAAGTAATTTATTCTGGATGGATTTAATAATGATGATATTTTCTGTCTGTTCGAAGCAAGCCGGATTAACTATTTAAAGCTCACTTTCAGATCGTATACGGTGATTTACAAGAAAATGACTTGCTTAAAAAATAGCGAGATTCTCAGGCAGGTTCAGGAGCGTCTTTTTTATATGACTTCAAAGTGGATTTACGGTCATTTATTTGTGATGCTTTTAATAAAAAATGCACATTTTGAGAGTTTAAGTCTAACTTAATTACAAAAGGTATCTGTTAATTGTGTGTGTTCAGATGTGACTGAGTTATAGAGGTTTATATGAAGCATTGTTTTTGATGAGATGAACGTTTTTCGCTGTTTTAATTATGATATGAGCCGTTTATTTAATTATATTTTANTGTACGTGTGTGTGTGTGTGTGTGTGTGTGTGTGTGTGTGTGTGTGTGTGCGTACACACACACACACACACACACACACACACACACACACACACACACACACACACACACACACACACACACACACACACACACACACACACACGTACACACACTTCTTATGTGCAGACCAAGAAAATGTCCAACTTTGATAAAAACACAAGCATATAGTTTAATGATATATTTTCTCAACAGTGCAGAATTGTTAACTTAATACAAATTCAAAAATATTTTTACATTTTTTCCCCTACGCTTTCTACATAACTTAACATTTGTCAAAAAATTATTCAGTCAACATTTTGTTACTAAAATATTTCAATTTACAATTATTAACAATTTACAAATGTATCAGTTATTACAGTTTTTCCTGAAATATTTAGAGTTTTTTTCATCAGTAATCTGGGTATTTTTTTCTAGAAATATTACGTTTTCCTCCAAAAAATATATTTCTATTTATGAAATTATTACGAAATTTCTTTCCATATTACTTTTTTTCTTGTCTAATTTCCAAAATAGCTGCCTCGTTGGTTCAGGTTGAAAAGCTTTCATCCAATCAGGTGCCTCGTAGCACAATCATTAAGTGTCCAATGTTTGTAAGTATGGCGGTATGCAAGAGAAGCAGAGAAACATATGAATTGATTTGTGCACAAAGACATAAATAATTATTATAATCGTACTGCTTTAAGTTCAGAGCACCTTTGAATAAATAAATAAAACTAATATACTAAATATACAAAAAGTAGATTTCATGCAAATCTTTCCGTCTCTGCAATCTCCCGAAAGGGCATTTGGTGAAAAATGAACTATAATTAAATATCTTTGTTAAGAGATATGTGCATTTCTATAGGAGCCTCCCTATTGGTCTAGCTGTCGTCCAATCAGATAGTTTCTCAAGGAATAAAAAAAAAAAGTGTCTAAAAAAACAAACATTTTTTCCCCAAATATGTCGAGCTTCCGTCCAATCAGGAGCCTCGTAGCACAGCCATTAAGTGTCCAATGCTAGGGAAGTGTACCATCATGGTTTAGGGGGACATTGGGTGTTGGATTGAGTCTAGTCAAGCCTTTGACCAATCAGGTGCCTCCTACAACCCCAAGAGTACCGTCATGGTTTAGGGGAACAAAATAGAAGAACCTTTCAAAATATGCTGACAAACCAATCAAGCTTTCGTCCAATCAGGTGCTTCGTAGGACACCCACAAACTGTCCAATGCCAGTAAGTGTCCTTTGGAAGTGTACCATCATGGTTTAGGGGGACATTCGGCCTCGGACAGCCAACAGTTGGCGTTCTTCCTGAGGCACAAATACACATTTTGCTGAACCTTTTTAATAATAAAATAACGTTCCATGCTAGTCCAGGCTTCGTCCAATCAGGAGCCTCGTAGCACAGCCATTAAGTGTCCAATGCTAGGGAAGTGCACCCTCATGGTTTAGGGGTACATTGGGTCTTCGCAATAAAATAGAAAAACTTTTCCAAATCGTCCAACCAGGTGCCTGCTACCACTCCCAGAGTACCATCATGGTTTAGGGGGACATTAGGGGTTGGATTGGGTATTCGTAATGAAATAGAAAGACGTTTCCAAATATGCCGGCAAACTAATCAAGCTTTCGTCCAATCATGTGCCTCGTAGGACACCCATTAAGTGTCCAATGCTAGTAAGTGTCCTTTGGAAGGGTACCATCATGGTTTAGGGGGACATTGGGCTGTTTCTCCGGCGGTTCATTGATATAGCGGTGGCGATGGACCCCCGGCGGCCGGACAGCGAGGTGCGTGCTTCCCTCAGGTTGTCCCTGAACCTGCGGGTGGAGTAGTAGTACAGCACCGGGTTGATGCCGCTGTTGGACGCCGCCATGCACAGCGTCACGGCGACCACCTTCTGCAGCGGCGCCGTGACATCGCAGCTCCAGCCGGCAAACGTGGCGTGAAGATGCACCGAACGCATCACGTGGTAAGGCAGGAAACACACCACGAATGTCACCATCACCATAGCGACCAGGTGTATGGAGCGCCGGCGGTTGCATTGGCGAAGTCGTGCGGACGGACCCTCGGCGCCGTGGAGGCTTGAGCGTCTGTTGAGGCGGCGCACGATCCGACTGTAGCTCAGCACGATGGTGAGGAAGGGAAGCAGGAAACCGATCAACAGCGCCACGTAGTTCATTATCAGAACCGTCTTCGATAAGGAGCTAGTCGGAGGGTCGAAGCAGCGATAAACCCCCGACCTGAGAGAAGGAACAAATCAAAAGGGATGTTTTGTATGTTCAAAATAAAGTATTTTGGGTAGGGGATAGGTATTTTTGTTTCCTTTGACAGACACATTGTTCTGTACTTTTTTTAATGTGCTGAAAGTGCCTTGTCTGCAAAATAACAAATGAAAAGATTTTATTTTATTTTTTTAAATAAAGTAGGAAGTGAGAAGTAAACCACTATTGCCAAAGGTGTGAATGTGTAATGAAAACCTAAATGTCAATATTAGACATAAATTGCACAACAGGTAATGGTGGCGACATTATATAATAATTATATAATGTTTTATTTATAATGTATTTAATGAAAGATAAACAATTCAAATCTAAAGGGGCGTTAAAAATAAAGTACTTTGCCGCCCTCTGCAGGCTAGAAATGAGAAATACACCGGGTAAAACTAATGAAGGTGTGAATATGTTATGAAAATGTAATTATTACACTTAAAATGCACAAAAGGTAATGGTGGTGACATCATCTCATTATTATATTACATTTGATTTGATTTTGTATTTTTTACAATGTATTATATTAAAGCTCACCAATAAAAAACATACAAATAAAACGTAATATTCACTTTTTTAGCATTTATTTTTTGTTTTATTAATTTTTAAAATGTAATTGATATTGGACAGAAAAAATAAAATACATCAAAATGGAAGAACACATTTAACGTTTATTATTTCCTGTCTCACCTGCAGATCCTCCCTTGGATCAGGAAGGGTGCGGAAGCCACGCCCACAAACAACCAAACTCCCAAACAGACCAATAGGGCTTTAGTGGGCGTGGCCAGAGCGCGATGACGCAGGGGGCGTGTCACCGCGAGCCACCGGAGCACGCTCAGTAGAGTCAGGAAGAGGATGCTAGGTGGGAAATTATTTTAATATTACAACTTTTCTTCTAGAAATACCACACATGTGTTTATGTTCTGACTGAGACTATTGAATATTTCTTAAAATATTGCTAATAATACCATATTTTTCTGAAGATATGAATAATTTTTAACCCGAATAAATATATAAACTTCTTTCGTGAAATGGTTAAGATTTTTTCTTATTGTATAATATTAAAATGTTAGAGGGGAAAAAACAGACATATTTTGTTTCTCTAATATTAAACATATCTGCTCTAAGTGTTCAAATGTACTTCACTGTTTGTTACCTCGTGTACAGGTTGACGTAGAAGCAGAAGACGTAGAGTCTGCACAGCCAATCAGAAAAATTCCAGACGCGTCCATTGAAGTAATAATGAAGCCTCAGAGGCAGCGTGAGCGAGAAGCTGAAGTCTGATAGGGCGAGGTTCGTCATGACGACACAGGAGGCGGAGCTTCTGCAGGGAAAAAGGAAGAGATTACATGTGTATTATTGTTTTAATTTTTTTTTAACCCAAACCCTTATTAACACTATTATTATTTATTTTAAAAAGTATTATTGTTTTTTCAACACTTTTATAACAATACTAAAAATACTAATATTATTATTTTAAAACGCTATTATTATTATTATTATTATTATCATGTACATTACTTTTTTTGTTAAATTATTATTATTATGATTATCATGAACACTATTATATATATTTGTAACGCTAATATCACATCATTNTGCCACTTTTAAAGCAAGCAACGATGTTTTCAAATCTTCGCTTCGCATCGGGCCGAACCACGCCCCTTAGCTGTGATATAATGAGCATATACCACGGCCTGTCGTGAGCTATTGCTTAAATATTATTTAATAGTTTAACATTTATTTTCTTGCTGTTTATAGTTTTTATTATTATTATTATTATTATTATTATTATTATTATTATTATCATGTACATTACTTTTTTTGTTAAATTATTATTATTATGATTATCATGAACACTATTATATATATTTGTAACGCTAATATCACATCATTGTTTTTAACATTTTCATAATCATAATCATTTCATTTATTTTTCAACACTATTATTATTATTTTATTATTATTTTCATTATTATTTTTATGTCATTCATTTTCTTTGGAGATTTTGAACGATGTTTTCTCATAAATTAAACTCAACAGCAGGTACAAACTTAAGGTTTTGTAGAATATGATCTTTTCTTAAAGCATATTTTTAACATTAAAACAAATAATGACAGTGAGAGCTGTGTTCCTTAATTTGTTTTGTAAATAAAAAGTACAAATATTAAATTATAACCTTCATTTTGTGGACAGGTGTAGACGCTGCTGTCTGAATGTTTGAGAGGGATGTAAATATTATATTATTATATGTAGTAATATAATAGGAGTTACAGCAGCTCTCTGTGTGTCATAAAGGCGTTAGTGTTGAGTTTGCAGTTTAATGCAAATTAAATTCAAACCGTCTCTTCTGAACGGTACTGATAATATCTATATATGAATATACTCCACTCAGAAACTGTAGAGATCATTTGTTTCTAACGACAGTCTCATATTTACAGTGTGATATCTGTGTGTGACTGAACACACACATTATAATCCTGCAGACTGTGAACTGTGCGGACGGAAATACAAAATTATGAAAACACTAAAAAAAATAAAAAAAATAAAAAAAATAAAGATAATAACAAAATAATAATAAATACAATTAAGAAATAGAAAGAGATTTAGGAAAATGTAAATATATAAATAAAAAGAATAAAGCTGCAAACATGATGATGTCTGTTGTTGATTTGCATAAAACTCAAACTGGTTATTCATGTTTCATCTGAACGGTAAATCACCTGAACGAGGGGCGCTCTGCAGAGAGGGGAATCATACAGTGCGCTTGTCTTCTTCTTTATTATTATATATTTATTATTATTGTGTATTTCCAGTACCTGCGGCTCCTCTGCAGGATGAAGACGACGAGCGCCCCCCCGTTACAGATCAGGGCGATGGGGAACAGCAGCACGTAGGTGGCGCTGTACACATAGTACTTAAAGGAGTCCTCGGAACACCCCCCCACTGACGAGCTGTTACTCAGGCACACTGAAAACACAGATTTCAAGATAAGTGCAAAGATTTACAAATAAAAGTCTTAATTATTCAATAAAAAAAATCAATTGAAAATGTTGAGAACAAGAAAGTGATATCTCATGAATTCAAGGCAAAATAAATTCAATATTAATAATATCAAAACTACTGTGAATCATTTGTAATTTTCAAGTAAAAAAAGTAAAAGGAAAAATGTTGTGATAATTTGAAGGAAAAAAACTATCAAGAACAGAAAGAGAAGTTTTGATTGTTAACGAAGAAAACGTCAATTTAATTTGAAGAAAATGTTGAGAAAAGTGAAATATCTTTATGAATCAATAGTTTACATTTTTAAGGAAAAAACTTTTGTCAATACAAAAACACATTTGATCTGAGGAAAATAAATTTGAGCAAAGCCAAAGATTTTGGGGAAAAGTCTTAATAATTTCCTTATTTGGAAAAACACAGATAAACATATTTTAAGAACAAATATCAAACGGATTACAAAAACGGTTTCAAATATTTCTCAGAGTTTTCTGACGTGTCATGTTTATATATGCTAATGAAGCTAATAATGCTAATGCTAACTTTTTGTTATTTTGGTAGCAGTAACACAAACTAATTCCCACAAGTATTTTCAGGTGTGTCTAAAACAAATGTTATTTCTGTAATCTGAATACCAGGAAACTGTGTGTGTGTGTGTGTGTGTGTGTGTGTGTGTGTGTGTGTGTGTGTGTGTGTTAAACAAAGCAGTCCTTGTTAGTAAAACACCTGCTGACAGGAACACACCTGACGACAGTATTTGAATGAAGAGTTTGACAATTTGGGTTTTTATGGATTTATTAGTTTCTTGTTCCTCATGAAGGACGCTTGTTGCTTTAGTTGTGTCTCTATGATCATAGTATGTGCGTTGATGCAGCTCTTCTTGTCTATTTGTGGTCATTTCTAGAAGTTTAGTGAGTTTATGGAAATTATTTTGAGTTTTTGTGAAGTTTTTTGAGTTTTCGTAGTTACATTTTTGAGAGTTTGAAGGAGTTTTTTGCAGTTATTTTGAGGCCATTTAGTAAATTGTTAGTCACCCTTTGTGGTCTGGAGTCTTTTTGTAGTTATTTATAGTTTCTTTATGTCCATTAATAACGTGTTGTTCTCGTTCTGAGTCTGTTGTTAGTGAATTGGTGCCTCGTTGTCATCCTTTAATGTGTTTGTGTGATCGTTTAGTGATCGTTTAGTGGTCGTTTAGTGTCATGATCATTTAGTGGTCGTGTAGTGGACACTAAGTGGGCTTTTCATGTTGTTTTATGTCCCTTTGATGTAGTTTGTGCATCTTTACAGTTGTTTTGTGTTTTCTCCTCTCATTAAACCTCTCATAAAACACGTTCTCCACAGCTGACGAGGAGCAGATGTTTATTAAAGTGTGTGTTCGCTGCGTTTCCTCTGAGTTTCTGCAGTACCGCCTGTGAAAAGTGTTTACCCTAAACCTCTATTAAAAATGTCTGACATACAAACAGCCCGACCTCCGACCTCTGTGTTTATATTTACTGTCACTGCAAATGCACTCTGAGATGAAACTTCAACCTCTCCTCACGTCTGATCTAAGACCGTTTAGAAATGCCTTTTTATAGTCTTTCTGGGAGTTTTGATAGTTATGGTTTCTGTGGTAACTCTGAGTCACTTTAAAGAGGCTCTCTCATGATGTCTGTGGTTTCCCCTCTCCTGTAGTGTGTTAGGTGGAGGTAAATGGTCTGCAAGACATGTTTAATCTGAGGTTCAACGTAAACACTGTTGCTGCAGAAACTCAGAGGGAACTCTACAAACAACTCGTTTAGTTTCAATCACTTTAAGACAGGAGTTCAGGAGCAGAAACAAGAACATGTATTAAAAACTGGTTTTAAAAACTAAACCATCCTCTTTAACCTGTTCAGCCCGAGCCTGTTTTCCAGGTCTCAGGCTCGAAAAGGACATTCCCAGAACAAATGACCATATCTTCCCTTCTAAAAGGGTAACATTAATAATCTTTTTTCTGAAAGTAATGATAAACCTGTGAGTTGGATGTAGAAGAGTCAGAATCAATATAGATGTTTTTATTTTAAAGTAAATTCAGATTGAACATGGTAAAAAACTGTAAATTATAGTGTCCGTCCAAAAAGAACCCATTACTTCTAGTGAAAACCACCCTTGAATGATGGGATCGTACTAAAAGCTTTAGGAATCCAAACTATAACATATAATAAGTACCCTGTATCAAGATTGATGCAAAACAAGTGGCATTTGACCTTTTTAGAGAGGTTTGGAAAAGAAAAAACCCTTCTGGGGACATTTGGGTGGATTTTCTATATCTCTGGAACCCCTCGGTCGATTTTAGGGGGGCTGCCGGGCTTAACAGGTTAACTTTATAGATCTTCTATTATGAGATGTTTAATTAGAGAAAATATACAAAATGATCACAAAAAAACGCCTCCTTTGGACTCCTTTGTTTACTTCCTGAGCACAGTGACATCAATACGGAACACTCCTATTGGATAGGATTCCAACACATTTCACGTAAAACAAACTCCTAACATCTAACGCAAACTATCCTCCAATTACTTTGACTTTTGACACATTAAGTACATTTTGCTGATAAAACTTCCACTATTTATAATTAACCAACATTTTTTAAACTTTTATTTATATTCGAGTATTTTAACCCAACGAGACCTCTGTTAGCGTTAGCGGTTAGCTCCGTTATTTAGTTCGGCAGGACTCAGCTAACAGATAAAACTAACTAGCCTCCTAATACTTTAATTAAGCTAGTAAACTTTTTTGTTTACATAAATATTTGTATTTCTAAGTTATTTTGTGTTATATGTCTCAAGTCCCATCCACATTAATAATGTAAATGCAAAATAAAGTAAACACATAATGCAGGTAAGGTTATAAGAAACACCATCATTAATAAAACTAATCTAATGATGTCATTTTTATAGAATAGACATGATGGGCATTCTTTATACTACTTGTACTTTTTATACTTTAAGTACATTTTGTTGATAAAACTTCTACTACTTTCACTTGACCAACATTTGTGCGATTTTACTTGTTGTATTTTATCAACAAAGTATTTAGATTTTTTTCCTTTAGTAAAATATCTGAGTAATCTTTAAAACATGTTTCTGCCAAACAGAGTTGAGTTTATATTGAAGCGAGACGATCCTCTGACTGTTTAACAAACCAAAACACCTTTTAAGGCTCTGAATTTAAAGAATCTAAATATTAAAGGGCTTTATTTTGAAAGGTCGTCACTCACCGTTCATCCTGTCTTCATTTCTTTTTATTTCATTTCATTTTTATTCTCCCTCCCTCCGTTTATCCCTCTTCTCCTGCGGCGATAAACCCTGAGTGAGTGTCTGAGCGAGAGTGTGTGTGTAATGGATTTCCTGGGAAGTGGGCGGGCACACACACACACACACACACACACACACACACACACACACACACACACACACACACACACACACACACACACACACACACACACACACACCAGTTGCGGTCAGATTCCTCTCTGGAATGTGTCTTGAACCTATACAAGTGAAAACGTGACTGAACATGTTTCATATTTATGCTGTTGACATTCTTACACACACACACACACACGCACACGCACACGCACACGTCGAGGCAATTTTTTTGAAATTGTTATAATTTTATATTTTTATATTCAATAAATGTATTTGTAATACAGTCCTACAGCCAGCCGGTGGCAGCTCAGGAGATTCATTTTGCACACAAATACTGTTATTAGCGATTCCTCTTAGACAGGGGTGCCCAATACGTCGATCGCAAAGGTAGTGTGGGTAGATCGCATGGCATTGAAAAAAGAGAGGAACAAAATAAAATGAGTTAGCCTATCCTCCATCCTTACTAAGGCATTTGCCACTTGATTGACGTACAGGTAAGCCAGTCTGAGTTGTGTTGTGCCATACGGGTTCATGCAGTTATGAGGTGGCCTCCCCCCCCCCCGCGCTCGCGACACAGATGGTGCAGGGGCGGCCCTGTCGGTAGATCATTTGGGCTTGGTCATTTTAAAAGTAGCTCCCAAGCTGAAAAAGTGTGGGCACCCCTGCTCTAAGAATTAAACACATCGGAGACCTTAAATAATCCCACGCTGCTCAACGCCGTACGGTTTCTCTCTCACTTAAATCTCTACGCTTTATCTTTTTTAATTTTTTTTCCCAGCTGTAATGTTTCTCTTTTTTTTAAATGTTAACCTGATTAAGTTTCACAAAAATAACACACTTAGCAATAAAACAACAAATAAATAACTGTAACATTCCCCATCGTGGGAGTCTTTTATAATATTTCACATTTAACAACAACAAAGAAGCTTTCAGTGAATATATTACATTTATTTCTCTTATTATTAAAGTCACATGTACTCACTGCCTTTTTAGTGAATAACAAACAGACTGCAGGAATAATGAGAAGTATTCAGCACGCATTAGCACTCTCTCTGGGTAAATGTTAGCCTAGCATGGTTAGTTTAAATATGTGTGTTTAAAGATAAATGAATAACTCTAAATCCTGAAAACATCAGTAGTAATCTGGCGCCCTCTAGAGGTCTTTGTTATTACTGCAACCACACTTCACTTAGTTATCATTTCAACTGATAGAACTTAAATATAAATATACATAATGATTACAAATAAATTACTTTTAAAGTAGTCACAAACGTATACCTAATGGTACTGTTATGACAGGGTAGGCCACAACAGGAAAACAGAGAGAGACGTTCAAGGATTCCAAAAACCACGGCACTTTAATTGTGATCTTTCAACACAACACCGGAAACATGAAAGAATGGGCGAGAGTCCTCCTGCAGCCGGCTTGGAGAGAGTCATGAAGGCCCTGTGACTGCGGGCAGCTGGGCTTAAGTGTCCCAGGTGTCCCAGGTGTCCCCGGTCATGCTGATTGGCCTCTTCAGCTCCACCCCCATCGCAGGACCTGCAACACACCTGCACACTCACAGGCCCCAGGCCTCACAGTACAAATTACACAAAAATGACCTACATTTATATGATGAATATCTTTTACTGGAGTATATCAGAATAATTTCTGAACATGAGGAAATACTTACTGAGGTAATAAGTGTTATATTAATACTGATAATAATAATAATAATAATAATAATAATAATAATAACAATAATAAATTGTAGTAATAAAAATACAAAAATAAAACATAATAAAATTGTAATTATAACAATACAAAAAATAATAAAAATAATAACGAAATATAAGAAAATAGTAATAATCATAATAATGTATTAACCACTTCTACACCGCACCTCCGATACCGGGGGGAAAAACGCGTCATCTGCAGGAAACAGCGTCTGAGGGCATCTTAATATTCAATAAACTATGTGTAGCGACAGCAGGAAACAAACAAAGTCGCTGAGAGGCTGAGGCCGGGCCTGGTTGATATTGTGTGACACGCTACAAGAAAGGACTTGGTGAGATCAAAGACTCTGTTGCAAAATAATGTGGTTTAATGAAAACTGGGATGATCAACTTACAGTATACTCCTTGGACATGTACATCGTTATATTAATCAGAGCAATCATTTCAATCTGAGATCAACAAAAAGTACAACGGCCCTGTGTCACCCTCTCTTCCACACACACCTCCCGCAGGTGAACAGGATTATAATGAGTGCCGCCCATATCCATGTGACCCAAGCCAACCAATCAATAGTGCTCAAACAAATATCTTATATTAAAACATAAAGGATTACTAAACACGTTTCATGGCTCCTACACACCAGCCTCTAATTATTAGGATAGTATACATAATAATTACTAACATTATTCAAATGGGAGCCATGTGACAATTATAACTTGTAATCAAGTCCATACAGTTGCAGTTCATGTATGTGTAGTTTTCCTTCTTCTTTTCTGTGTACGAGTCACAAGTCAGTTAGGCCAAAAGGTACCACCACCTATGCTCAGTCAAAGATAATCCTTAGTGTCATTTAAGTCTGTCAGTCGAAAAGAGTCAATACTGTGGAAAAGATGTCACTAATGTCGGATGTTCTTCTTTCTCTTCCTGACGTTCCTGCATCTTCTCCACGATATTCTCGCTTTGATCGCCCCACTCCTTCTTTAACGAGGAGCGCAGCATGTCCTCCTCGTCTTTGACTCTGAGTCCTTCGGCCTTGTTGAGCACGTTGGTCCACTTCATCCTGTTCTCCAACTTGACATTCCAGCTTGTTCTTCCAGTCTGCATTCAGGGAAGTCTCTGCTGAACTGCTGTTGCCAAGGTCCATCCAAATTCACAACTGAGATTCTGTTCACAGATACTTCTGGTTTGTCAAAGTCCATTGCATTCCCACTCACTCCTTCAAGTGGTCCATTCACTGTCCTGCTTGCGTAGGGTCCGTCATCCACACTGCGTATGACTTCCAATGGTTCAGAGGCCTTAGGAACATTGGTTCCTATCAACAGTCCAATCCCTGCATTTATTTCAGGTAAATTAACATTTCTCAGATGAGGCCATCTCTGTAGGTCCGCTTGTCTAGGAATGTTCCCACTGTGGGCAGGCATGCACTCGCTTTGTGGCAGTTCAAATACATTTTCATTTTTTAAGCCAGCCACTTCTAGTCCGAACACAATATGGCTGTTTACGACCCTCTCTTGGCCCATGGTTCGTAAACAAATCTGCGCCTTCTTTCCAGTT